AGAGAGTATTGCTGGGAGTTGTAGTTCTCTATATCCATTACTATTCTGCTTTCTTTAGAGAGTATTTACTGGGAGTTGTAGTCCCCTATAGCCGTTACTATTCTCCATTTCTTTAGAGAGTATTTACTGGGAGTTGGAGTTCTCTTGCTACCTTTCATTTTTATCGCTTGCATTTTGTCACATTATGGGCCTGAGTGGGGCCTCATTTTTAAGTTTCTCCTCACAAAGTCTAGAGCTGCCATTGCCAGTAGGGGTCTATTAGCCCCAAATGAATGATACCGCGGCTAAGAATTAGAACCTCTGTCAGGTTTGTATTGCTGCTCTGTACCTCCTGGAAGTGTTTTCCCTCTATAATTGTTTTGGTGACATTATAAGCACATTTTACTGCTCTCAGTGGAACAGGAATTGGGGTGAAATCATCTGTCTAAAGGTGCCCACACACCTGCCGATTATCGTACGATAGTTGTGTGTGATCCCACGATCGTTCGATAATCGGCAGGTGTATCGAAGGCGTGCGACCGTTTCTACTGTGCGATCGCACGTCTTTTGTCTCCCGAGCAGGCTCGGAAACCCGCCGAGAATCGTACTATTGTCGTGCGATGGTTGTAAAGTGTATGGCCAGCTTAAGAAGGGATTTCCACTCATTTAATAGACAGATTTTCATATCTTCCTGTTGTGTCTCTGGGAAGAGAAGAAGATCTCACCAACAGCACATTACACTTAGGAGAACTATGGGGTTAAGGCTTTTCCCCATAGTTCTCCTTAGGGTAACGGGAGGACACAAACCTCCCGTCACCCTAAGCTCAGTATACCGCAAGCTGTAGCTTGCGGTATACTGAGACGCCGCAGCTGAAGCGGATCCCGACAATTATGTCTGGATCCGCCCAGCTGCGTGACTGACAGCTGGCTCTGCCTATCTAAAGGCAGAGCCAGCTGTACCTGCCCCCTCCCCCGTCCGTTCCGCCAGTCAGCGCTGGAGAATCGGAGCGGGGAGGGGGGAATGCAGCCGTGACAGGATCGAGAGGTGAGCGAACGCCGGTATGTGTTCCCTCACCTCCCGATCTACTGAGCCGACCTGTGACAGTCTCATTGTCACAGGTCGGCTAGAACTATGAGGTGAGTGAAAAGCACTCACCTCATAGTTCTCCTTTAACT